AAATGCAGACGATGGAGGTCTACTTTGTAAAGTTTCAGAGGGAAGCAAAGACTCATCAATCAGGGCCATTCCCGTGATATATCTGACTTAAGAATCTTAAAAATATGTGGTTTCTGGTTGGCGGACTGAAAAAATCAGCTGTGATTAACAAGAGACCAGCATTATGGAGACAAAATCTCTGGTGAATTATTTCCTTAGGGTTAGCACACATAAGCTGTGGCCCAGCGGAAGACCAAGGCTGCATCTCAAGCTGAAAGCAGAACCCAGCTATGTGTAAGAATGTCCCAGATGGTACTGGTTCTGAAGGCATGGAAGGGCAACGGAGAGCAGCTGAGGCTTGGCACGATGTAAGGCCAGAAGACGGCATGGATGAAGGGGCAGTCTCAGTGGCTATGGAGGCCCTAGTACGCCGGAGATGCCAGGACTTCGGAATGAACAGCAAGAATAGTAGCAGGTACGAAACAGAGCTGATGTGAGCCTGTGAGACGAGCTGAGAGCCAGAGCTGAGAGGTAGAGCCTCCCAATCCCCTGGAGCCCGGACCATGAATGAGTAGCAGACTTGAGTACTAGGCCTTTTACACTGTTAAGTTTTGTTTTTGCTTTGATCTAATTGCAACAGTGCCCTGGGCAGGTGATTTTGGACTGCATAAGGAAACTGCGAAGACGTACGAGAGTAAGCCAGTAAACTGTATTCCTCCATAGTTTCTACTTCTGTTCCTGCTTTAAGCTCCTGTCCTGGCTTCCTTCAGTGATGGACTATAATCTGTAAGGTAAATAAACCCCTTCCTCTACATGTTGGTTTTTTTCAGTGTTTTATCACAGGAAAGAAAATCAAACGATAACATGAGGATATGGGAGGAATTTGAGGAAAGGGCAACAGGGGATATTTCATCAAAATGCATTAATATACCATATATGAAATCCTTGAACAACAAACTTTAAAAAAAAAGTACTAGAAGTCCTAGTCAGACCAACCAGTAAAGAAACAGTAATGGAACTAAAAAGAAGAGGCAAAGTGGTGTGTTTCCAATAATAAAACTTTATTTAAAAAAAAAAAACAACCAAGTGTAAAGACTAGGAAAAGAAAAAGAGCAGAGCAGAGGTTCTAATACGTGGGCAGCAGTGAGAAGCTGCCCGTCTGTCCAGCGTGGAACCTCTGGGATGGCGTGGCCTACTGGCTTCAGGATACACGGCCTTCATAAGACATGTGTACGACACAACTGATAAAATGCTGGGAACTCAGCAGTCAGTGGAAGGACAGACAGAACCGGAGCGTGTCCCAGAGGGCTGTTCTGGGTCACCTCTGACAAACTAAGAAGACCCATCTACTTCTCAGAGCTGAAGAAAACTGTTTTAAAGGTTAACAGAAAATGTGAAAAAATTCCTCAAAATAATCTTTTAGTGGGTGGATTTGGCACATTCCAGAGAACACCTTTGAGCTTAGTCCAACTCTGAATTAAGCCAGAGTTCACCTTTAAGAAACAATGAACTTGTTTTTAAGCAAAAACCTTGTATTAATAGGAAACATGGAATGTGAGTGCAAAGATATTATCGACTGAACTATATCTAAATATTTTACAAAGTTTTCCATGAGCCATCAGTAGATCTTTAAAATGCATGAGCTTTTTAAGGCTTTGTTAGTCATTCATCTGTAAAAACCCAGCTTTTTATGTGTGTGCCAAGCATAAAATTGCCCTATGCTAAATTTAACACAAATTCACATTACAGAGTAATGTGTTCTTCAACATAATTATGACAGCGAGTCAAAGGATAAACACACTTAGAACAGTCTACCTTCTGATGAAGTCTAGCAAATGAAGAAGCCTGAGGAACAGAAATTGGGTCCACATCTTAAAGCTGCAGGCAACCAAGCCAAGAAAATAAACGGAGGAATCAGGCTATGTAATCACCATCCCTTGTAAAATCATTTAAACTATTTCTTAGCTGTAATTGTTAGCAGTTTCTTATGACCATAATCTTTAAAAAAAAACTTCCACCACAAAAATTAAATGCACATGTACATTAACATTTTTGTCTACTTATAGTTAGGTGCCAGTGTGCCAGATTAACATTTCCCTCTTCCAATTCTGCATTCTCTATTAATTCTAGTACATTTGGTTCCCAGTTAATTTTGTATTATTTTTCCAAATAATGGTTGGCTAGAAATTGAAGTAACAAAGAGTTTGAGAAGGAAAATAGTGAAGAGAGCCATTTAGTGTTTCTGCAAAGCAACAGTACTTTTTTAAAGATTCTATTCAGTGCTGCTAATCACTTTACTGTTACATAATTAAGATTCCTAACTTTACCCTTGGCAAACACGGTCAGTATAAGATGTAAGCAGAACTGCTTCAGGTTAGATGGTCAGCACAGGCAGCCTCTGTCTTCTCGTGGCCTTCTGGCCTTCATGCTCAGACCTTTCCCTCAAGAAGCTAACATGGGTGTAGATCACTTATAGCAAGAACTTAAGTGACAAGAAATCCGTCAGAACATTACCACAATAACTCAACTTAAACTAATTTTTAGGAAGTGATTTGTTGTCCAGGTGATCAATTCCCGAGGAGAGACTTTTCCTAATATGTCTAAGTAACTTTCACAGGCTGTAGGTAGATTGGAGGTGAGAAGCAACCCTGTGCAGAGCTAGGCTGCCTTTCCTCACTGCAGTAACCTAGTCTGAGCCTTAGGTCTGCTCCTTACCTCTCACAAGCAGGAAGGGGTGAAGAAACACTCATTTCAAATCTCAATGGAACAATTTTAAATTCACTGGCCTCTTCCTATATTTTGCAAAAGAGGTACAATAACCCTCAGTAAATTAAAAATAAGTTAAGATCAGGGGCAAAAGAGATGACTCAGGGGTTAAGAGCACATGCTGTTCCTGCAGATGACTCAAGCTGGGGTCCCAGTACTACATTAGTCAGTCATCAGTCAGTCCACAACCACCAGTTCACATGTCCAGGAGACCCAGTGTCCTATCCTGGCTTTCATAGGCACCTCCCACACACACATGGCGTTTACTCACAGAGATGCACACATACACATATACTAAAAAAATAAAAAGTAAAATAAAATTAAAAAAACATAATTCTAAGGGCCAAAATATCAACTTAATAAATGCAGGGTGCAGGTCATCTACAGTGTGCTCTCATAATTAAGAGGTCAGATTAGTAACTATGTCTTCCATATTCATATACTTTATGTTCACATCCTTCACAAACTAACCAGCACCAAATGTCACCTTTCAAAAGGAAACTATATATTCTTTGGCCAGAATGTGCATGCAAAAAAAAAAACTGATAAAAAAATGTGTAAGAACGGGACTTCTGGGCAATGTAGACAGCATCATATCCTTTCCGAAACAAAAGGGAAAGGTATAAAAACCAACATTTATTACAAGCTTACTAATAGATGCTGAGTGCTAAGTTCTTTACATAAAATACAATCAATTTAATGCTCCATGCATCCTCTTACCAAGTACTTGCGAGCAAACACATGCAAACACCAAAGGAATAAAGCAGAAACTAAGCACCCGAACTGACAGACTTCTCCCAGGACTACAGACTCAGTCCACACGTATCATTCTCGTGAATATATAGTCCAAGGTGTACAGCTCACCGATTTAAATTGTTTCCAGAAAAGTAACCCAGGAGGATTATTATCTCGCTATTACTTAAAGGAAGTTTTTATGATAGTCCAAGAACTCAGTTCTATGAGCATGGTTCCATAAGAACCATTTCTGACTTCCTTTCAAGAAAGATGAACTTCTGGTACCGAAGACTGTACAGACATTATGATAATGTGCAGATTAAGCTTCGTTAGTGTTCAAATGACAGAGGGTTAGAAATAAGATGAGATTGGGCAGTGCTTTGATTCACTGATTCACAGTGAAAAAATAGATGCCTTTCAGGTGGAGAGATATTTATCTTTTGAGATGTTGGTAATCCAGCCTAGGGCATGGTGCATGCTAGGCAAGCGCTCTTCCACTGAGCATCATCATGGGATACTGGAGAACAATGTCTAGGGCTGGAGAGATGATTCAGTGATTAAGAGCACTGGCTGCTCTTCTACAGGATGCTGGTTTGATTCTTAACACCCACATGGCAGCTCACATCTGTTTTATAACTACTGTTACAGGGGATCTCACCTCTGCTAACACCAAGCATGCACATGGTACACAGAATTACATGTAGGCAAAATCCCATACACATAAAATGAAAATAAATAAATTTTAAAAATTGTTTTAAAGAAAAATATCTGTATGCATGATAAAAAAAAGAATCTAAGTCATATACCTTTGAAAACAGTTAAGTTGTTTTTTTTAAGTATCTAACTATCAGGGGAACAAAGTTGTGAAATTTCATACTTACAATCTAATATTAACTTAATAACCTTAATAAAACATAAAAAATTCTAAGAGCTCAACAAAATATAAAAATGTGTGTTGCAATGCTAAATACAAATAGCATAACAATTTTATTTATACTATAAGTATAAATAATGTATATAATTATGCTATAAATATAAATAAAATTTAGATAAGGTATATGTACCATATACAGTCTATACTATAAATAGTATAAACAAGGTCTGGGGCTTCAGCTCAGTGACAGAATGCTTGCCTACCATGCACAAAGTTCTGGGTTCAAAAAAAGAAAGAAAAATTTGTATTATAATTACACAAAAATTGCTTTATATCTAAGAAATTGAAATTGTTAGAAACTGAGAGATATTTTTAGATTTTTTTATTGTTCGTAAGAATATTATTTAAATAAAAATGAAAACCTTTAAAATGTTATCACCATGTAGATTAATGGCACACAGACTGTAGTAGCTTAAAGATTTAAGTGTTTGTCTTAATTTTCCAGTTATTCATCAGTTTCAGGAAAGCAAGCTTTTGTGATTCCTTTATTCCTTCCACAATGCTTAGTACTGCACCTATGGCCTAAACAGAACCAGTCAGGACCAGTGATGATTACCAATTACATATAATAAAAACGAGAACTTACTATTGTTTGTTGGTTCAGAAAATCCAGCCTTCGGCCCACTCCATCCTTTGTTTTCCCCCGTCTGAAAGATTAAAACAACTGTTGAAGTCTATAGATTCAGGCATATTAAAACAATGCTGACTGATCACTTAGCAAGGGCAAAAATCTCTCCCATGGCTACTGAGTGTATCCTCTTTACCTCTCACTCACGGTGAAGCTGCAGGAGCAACTAGTGTGAACAGGACACCGGTCCCTTCCTACTCTCGCCCATGGTGAAGCTGCAGGAGTAACTAGTGTGAACAGGATACTGCCCCCTTCCTACTCTCGCCCATGGTGAAGCTGCAGGAGTAACTAGTGTGAACAGGACACTGGCCCTTTCCTATCTGAGTCTACCGCTTTGTTCACTGTTTTGAGTTGTTTCAGGTTTCAAGCATGAGTTTGTCTGTTTACAAGGCATCAAGAAAACCTGCCACATATAGTATGTAGTACATAGAAGACAGTCAATAACTTTTACTCAAGAAGTAAAGGAGTGTCTTCAACCTTTCTAAGATCAAAATAAGAACAGAAATATTACTGTGTCCATTCTGGAAAAAAAAACCTTTGCTAAGTAAGTATCACCAAAATATAAGTGTATTTTTACACATTTTTTGTCTCTTTCATTATACATCTTAAGGTGGCAAGGAAACAAATACTGACAGAAGAAATGTAAAACACAAAAAAAAACTAGCAGCATAACACAAACCAGGAAGCACTGAACTCTTTCTTTATCTCCTTATCCATCTGCTTAAGACAAAATTTTTTGTCATCTCCACATTTATCTCCTGAGAGAATATGACTTTAACTATGTAAAGACATGATACATTTGTTTATGCTGCAGAATATTACTTTAACCATGTAAAGATGTGTTGCTGTTTCATCTTGCCTGCCTAAGGCACCTGATTGGTCTAATAAAAAGCTGAACAGTCACAGTGGAGGGATGGGTAGGGCTGGCAGGCAGAGAGAATACACATGAGGAGGAAGCTAGGCTGGAGAGGAAAGAGAAGAGAAAAAAGAGACGAGAGAACTAGGGAGATGCCACGGGTCAGCCAGTCAGACAGCTACCTGGAGGAAGCAGGAAAGTAGGGCATACAGAATGAAAGATGAAAATCCCCAAGGCAAAAAGGAAGAAAAACAATTTAGTTATAAGAGCTAGTGGGACATGCATAAGATAAGGTCACACATTCATAATTAATAGTAAGCCTCCACGTCATGATTTGGGAGCTGGTTGGTGGGCCTGAAGAGAGCCTGCTACAAGACCACTACTGAAACCTTTGACTACAAAATTCTAAAACAGACATTCTTTTCAACACAGAAATTATTGTGCAATAAGTAGTCCAAGAGTATTAACCACCACCAATTCTGACATTTAAGACAAGATAAATTTGGTAATGACCTAATTGCTTTGGATGAATATAGATGATCTCATTCTCCCTCAATATCTGATTATTAACATTTGCCTTCTAAAAATGCAAACCAAAGTGTCTGAAGTCATAAACCTCATAGGTAGTTTTCCTAAGTCAAGAAATAAAGAGTAACCATACCCTAAAGTTGGAGTTTTTGTTGTTGTTGTCTTTTTCTTTTGTAATTGTTTTGTATTACTTTAAGTGAAGCGCCAGAGAGTTAGAATCCAGTGAGAACGGACTATAAATATGATGACTATGCGTGAATTGCGCAAGGAGGAAAGGAAAGGAAACAGCAGGATGAATGCAGAGCTGGGGAAGAATGGCCGGGCTGGAGAAACAACTCAGTGGCTAAAAGCACCTGCTGTTCTCCGAGAAGACCCGAGTCATCAGTTGGTCAAAAGCTGGCACTGCACAATACACTCCACCCTCCCAGCTGACGTCTTTGCTCAGACTACCACCTGGCTGCAAAAGTCATCCTCTGGCTCCCTTTCCTTATGTGCCCACCACACATATTATTTAAACTTGAATCTTAACAAACACACATATAAAATATCCCTGAGCTCTTTCTCTCCTTATGCCCACCACCAGTTTCTTTGTTCAGATCCTCCACATCTAAACAATTCTATTAACTTCCTTGGCTGCCTTCCCTACTTTCTGCCTCTCAGGTCAAATCCATTTTCCATACTTCTGAGAGAATCACTTTTTATGGACATAACTAGATTAAGTTGAAATCTTAAATGAACAATTCTTTAAACCCTTTACTTTGCATTCAAACAGTGACTGACTGATCTCCCTTCCCTCTCTTTGCAATATGATCAAAATGCCTCATTCTCAATACTTAATGGCCGAGTTCCTTGAAAGTAAGGACTAGGTTTCAATCCACCTGTTACCTTGGAAGTTCTAAGTATCTGGCATTGAGTAGGTGTGAGTGTGAGGGTGGATTTCATACATCCAGAGTTCAGGTATTTGGTAAAACATTATTTGGTATATTTCTAAGGAAGTTTGGGCTGAGCTGTTCATTTAAACTGGTGGACTTTAGGTAAAGCATACTACCCTTCACAATATGGAGGACCACATGCAGTCAGTTGATAGTGTCAATGAAACAAAGGGTTGATTTCCTTCAGGAAGGAATTCTCCAGCGCCTGTCTATGGATTGAAGTGGGACTGCTTCTTGAGTCCCCAGCGTGCTAGGCCCTCCCACAGACTGTAAACTACCCAAGTCTGTGTATATTTACAAATGTGCACGCACACACGCAAACATACATGTGCATAGTCAGGGTGCACGCATGCACACACTCATACACACCCACGTATACATGTGCACACATCTTGCAGGTTCTGTTTTTCTGAAGAACACTTGCTAATATACTAAAAATACAACAAACAAAAGGCTTCTCAAAGGAAATACTGTTTTGTTTTGTTCTTCACTTAATATACAAATAAATGTCTCTAAAATGGCTTATTTTGACATACTTTTATAGTTCTCATAGTTTTAAGTCAATATAATCGTGTTAATTAAAACATATACATAACCTAAATCTACTGAAATGCAAACATATGCCATATTTTGTATTACAAATACTTTTTAAAGGAGAAAAAACATTGACTAACCAAGCCAAAACAAACAAACAAACAAACAAAAATCCCCAGAATTGTAATCTCCATCACACAGGCAAATGAATTTTTTAAACACTGAAATGAATGGGAGTAGCCTTGAGAAAAGTACAGCTAAGTGTTCACCAGAAGATGTCGTTTCTCCCTCTAAGCTTAAGGAGTGTCCCCTGCGGAAACTAAGGCTCTCTCCAAAATGGAGTCCTTGAGAAAGGAAAGTGTAACACATAGAAAATAAAATATAATATAAAGGAAAACTACCTTTATAAAGGGCATGTTAAACCTGTTTTGTTGTTTTTGTGTAAACAAAATGCTTAATACAAATAATTTCTTCATAAGTGTAGATAACAAAACAATAATAAAAAAGAAAATTAATTCAATTTCTTTCTCTTCACCCTATCTGCTACACCCTGAATTCAGGCCCCGACAACAGAGGCAGGTGCTAATGATGTCATTAGCTCTGCAGAAGAAATAAAGGCATATGAACAGGGTCTTGGGAGAAAAATAAATACTCTCTCAGTTTACCTTTAAGTTTAAAATAAGCAGAAAGAAATAAATAAAACTGGTTTATAGAGAGTGTGCCTAATATAACTCCTGCCCTAAAGAACTAAGGTAAACTTTTTATTTCCAGTGTTTCCAGCAGTATTCCAGAAACAAAGACTAACAGCTCCTGTCCCTAACAGCACAATACAGAGAAGAGGAAGCCAAGCAGTCAGACAATATCATATTGGTATGAACTATCACACAGAAACCCTAGCATTTCCAATCATAGACTTATTATTGTTCACCAACACTGTACCTTCCCCACAAGTGGATGCCAGTTTCTAGCAGCAAAATCTCACAAAGCATTGCCTCAAGGAAATTAAAATTCAAGTCAACTGTGAGAGCAGATGAGATCAGCATATGTTAATCACTTTCAGGTCAGACAGGAGGCACAGGTACATCAATGCCCATCCCTACCTTGTCGAGCTGATCCTGAAGGCTAGTGGATGCCTTATAGCCAAGCTGTAACAGCATCGCTTCTGCAGCGTTCTTCTTGGCTATCTTTTTATTAGGTCCTGTTCCAGTAGCAACTTCATTGCCCACCTTGACCTATTGAGGTTGAAGAAATTAATTAGTTGTATTAGCAAACGGGAAATCCTGACATTATAAAGCAATGCACAGAACTCAAAAAAATGTGAAGGTTAGTCCAAAATAAAAAAGGTAAAATCTCACTCATGTAAATTTTATATATACAAGTGAAAATACACATGGAGAAAATATGGGGAAACGGTCCTCAGATTCTGGTGGTCATCTCAGGTGGCATTCTGCTAAGCCTTTTACTTCCTTAAATATTTCTACATTATTTGAGCTTTTAAATCATACTCATTTAAGCAAATACAAAATAAAGTTTATATCAACATAGCATTTATTCTAACTTCATTTAGTACTCTTTATTTCCAGCAGGAAACTGACAAAGGGGAAATTCACTAATGTCCAAACTTCATATGGGTTTCTATTAGGACTAGAGGCACTGCTCAGTGGTAGAATACTTCCTAACAGAGACAGGGTCCTGGGTTCAATATCTAGTAAGGAAAAGAGCATATTAAATAGTTCCTAAAGAAAATGAATCTAAGGCTGAGTATAGTACTGCGGTGAAGAAAAAGACTTAGGAAATTCAACCACGTGGTGTCTCGCCCCCCCCCCCCCGGGCCTAAGACGCTGCTATTTAACAGCTCCCTGGCCTGCAGACTCTGCATCAGTACAATAGGAATACCAACAACTATGCCTCACTAGTGCTCAGAAATGAAGAGAATCAGCCGGGCAGTGCTAGCGCAGGCAGATCTCTGTGACTTCAAGGCCAGCCTGGTCTACAGAGCTAGTTCCAGGACAGGCTCCAAAGCTACTGAGAAACCCTGTCCTGAAAAGCAAAAACAAAACAAACAAACAAAACAAAAACAAAAACAAGCCAAAAAAACCCTGCTTATAAGCAATTTAAGCATAATGTGCACACACACATGTACTTAAATATATGTGAGTCATCTTATACACACGTTTGCTGAATTGAGTAGAACTGTTTTAGAAATAAAGTCATAAAAAATTAAATTGAAAAGTGAAACTATGGACTGAAGAGACAGCTCAGTGGTTAAGAGCACTGACCACTTTTCCAGAGGACCTCAGTTCGATTCCTAGCACCCATATGTTAGCTCACAACTGTCTGTGACTCCAAGATCTGATACCCTCACACAGACATACATGCAGGCAAAACATCAATGCACATAAAATAAAAAGACAAATTATTAAAAAAAGAAAAGTGAAACTATAAGGAGGAATCTACAAAATGACATTAAAATATTGCTGCTCTTACAGAGGACTCAGGTTAGTTTACAAACACCCAAGAAGGAGGCCCGCAACTGTAACTCTAGCTCCCTGGGTGCCCTCTGCTGATCTCTGCAGGCAAAATACTTTTTACATACAAAATACAAATTATGAATAAATCTTTAAAAGAGAAAATACTAATAAATAGTATAATGTGTCATGTTTATAGGTTACAGGCAATAGTAATAAAGTAATTCATGTGTCAATTGATCTGTAAATTCACTGAATTCCTATCGAACTCTCACATGTATTTTACACTATCTGACAATTCTAGAGTTTATATAGTACAGCGAAGTGCTAAGCAAAGACGTGGTTTTTATTTTTTGTTTGAGAATAGTAAGGCATAGTACTTCTTTGCTTATCTGAATTTTTATACAGCTACCATAAGAAAAGGGCAGATAAACCTGAGTTTATTAAAGTACTTTTGCTTTTTAAAATATATGAATGAAAAATGAAAAGGAGGAGATTGATGGTTCAGTGTTAGTTAAACATTGGCTACGCACAGGCACTTGGGTCCCAGAGAATCTACACAAGGAGTGTGTGCACAGGGTGTGATGATTCTCTTAGGATGCGAGCCTTGAAAGCGGAAGGCCAAGAAGGTAGTCCCAGAGCAAGCTGGGACTAGGTAATAGCAGCAGCAAACTCTGGGTTTAACTGGGAGACCCTGCATTACTGAGTCCTGACGTCAGCCTCAGGTCTGTACACACAGAGATGCGTCTCTCTCCCCGTATATATACGTATATATAATATGTATGTATGTTTGTATGCATGCATGTATGTATGCCCCACTCCCTCCTCCTCAACACATACAGGAAAAAGCAAAATTACAACACAGGAAAATATGAAACAGCTCCTATGTAGGAGTTCCCTTTAGAAAGTAAGAGTTAATTTCTACTAATTCACATTCTTAAAAGCTACTAGAAAGTAAACAAGAAACCCCAACATATAATTCATGTCTGATAAGTTGGGTTATGTTACCAGACATCACTTTATTTAAAATAAAAAATATTAAAAAAAAATAAAGTTCCATGTTGGGTGGGGGGCTGGGAAGAGAGGAGGGAGAGGAATTGTGGTTGAAATGTAAAATAGATAGACAGGTAGATAAATTTAAAATGAAATGAAAGAGAACATGGTAAAATGAATTGAAACTCCAGTGGGAGGAGGAGAGGGAAAGGAAACTGGGATTGGCATGTAAAGAAGATTTATACCTTAAATTTAAATTTAAAAGAGGGGAGGATAATGTATGGAGCAATAATGAACTTGACTGAGCAATTAATAAAAAAAATAAGAGAACAATTTAACAACCAAAATAAAAATAAATAAATAAATAAACTCGAACAGCTTCATGCCACTTTCAAAAAATTTCACTGATAATCAACTGGATATTAGCAATGACTGCACATATGCACAGGTAAATACAGTTTCCAGGTGGACAGTGTGGTGACTTTAACAATATTTTGCAGTTTTGGTTCTTGTCTACAACCCTAATAGATGTTGTTCGTCCTGATCCAGAACATACACATTCCTGTCTGGCTTCCACAGTTGAGTATAATTAGCTATTTATTAGTTTCAGTTTGATTTGAGCTACAATTCCCATCACTACTTTTAAGCTTTAGTAAAGCAATCACTTTTGAGAAATGGAATCTACTCACCACCAATCCCACATCAAACAGAGGTCTGATATCCAAAATATACAAAGAACTCAAAAAATTGGTAATCAAAAGAACAAATAATCCAATAAAAAATGGAGTACAGACCTAAACAGAGAACTCTTAACAGAGGAATCTAAAATGGCTGAAAGACACTTAAGGAAATGCTGAGCATCCTTAGTCATCAGAGAAATGCAAATCAAAACAACTCTGAGATTCCATCTTAAACCTCTAAGAATGGTCAAGATCAAAAACACTGATGACAACCTATGCTGGAGAGGTTGTGGGAAAAAGGGAACACTTCTGCATTGCTGGTGGGAATGCAAGCTGATACAGCCCTTTTGGATGTCTATGTGGCGATTTCTCAGAAAATTAGGAATAACCTTCCTCAAGACCCAGTAATACCACTTTTGGGTATATATCCAAAGGATGCTCAATTGTGTCACAAGGACATGTGCTCAATTATGTTCATAGCAGCTTTGTTTGTCATATCCAGAGCCTGGAAACAGCCTAAATGCCCCTTGATCAAAGATTAAATAAGGAAAATGTGGTACATTTACACAACGGAGTACTACACAGCAGAAAAAATGACATCTTAAATTTTGCAGGCAAAGGGATGGAGGTAGAAAACATTTTTTTGAGTGAGGTAACCCAGAAAAAACAATTATCATATTACTCACTCATAGGTGGTTTTTAAACATAAAGCAAAGAAAACCAGCCTACAAACCACAATCCCAGAGAATTTAGACAACAATAAGGACACTAAGAGAGACATACATAGATCTAATCTACATGGGAAATAGAAAAAGACAAGATCTCCTGAGTAAACTGGGAGCATGGCGACCATGGAAGAGGGCTGAAGCGGAGGAGAGAGGCAGGGACGGGTGTAGAGAAAAATGTAGAGCTCAATAAAAATCAATAAAAAGGGGGGGGGGAAAGAATGTCAAAGCTTGTGCCCACATGGCTGAGGCATTTGTATTCCTGCACATACGAAAATGTGATGACTTTCTCCATGCCCTTGTCAACATACAACACCTATTTTTCCCTACTTGCTTTTTTGATTGATTTCAGCTCTCAGTAGATGTTACAGGGTAGGTCACTGTGAACTTGATTTGTATTTTTCTAGTAATCAAAAACTGGGTGATTTTCATGTGCTCATCTGTTATGCTAGAGTCTTCTTTGGAGAAATTTTAGTTATATCATTTGATCACTTTAAATTGGATTGAATAAATATTTTTTAGTTGTAACTATTTTTATGTCTTCTAGACGTATTTTGAAGGTGGTATGGTATGGAAATATTTTCTATCAATCTTTAATTATCTTTTCAATTTTTGTAGCATTCTTTGAAGACCAAATGGTTTTCTCCATTTTTATAAAGTCCTATTTATTTTTGTTTCTGTCTTTTGAAGCTTTAATATCATAATTAGATAGCTCTTGCTTAATCCAATGTCATGAAAATTTGTTCAGATCTTCCAAGAGTTTTATAGTTTTTGGCTATCAAACATGACTATGACTTACTTTGAGTGTATTTTCATGTCTTGCATCTATTTGTCTGAGCCCCATTCACTGAAATAAAATACCATCATTTCCACAAGGAAAAAAAAAGAATGGATCTACAAAAATACCAATGGCAGTTTATGATGGAGAGGATGTAGAGTAAGAGGAACACTCCTCCATTGCTGGTGGGAGTGCAATCTTGTACAACTATTTTGGAAATCAGTATGGCAGTTTCTCAGAAAATTGGGAATCAACCTACCTCAAGACCCAGCAATACCACTCTTGAACAATATCCAAAGAATGCATACTCATACCATAAGGACATTTGCTCAGCTATGTTCATTGGAGCATCATTCATAATAGCCTGAATCTGGAAACAACCTAGATACCCCTCAACCAACGAATGGATAAAGAAAATGTGGTACATTTACACAATAAAAACAATATCTCAAAATTTGCAGACAAATGGATGAAACTAAAAAACACCAAGCTGAGTGAGGTAACTTAGACCCAGGAACACAAACATAGTACATACTCACTTGTAAGTGGATTTAGATATTGTAAAAGGATAACCAGCCTATAGTCCATGACCCCAGAGAAACTAGTTAACAAGGAGAACCCTAAGAGAGATATACATGAATCCCCCTGGGAAGGGGAAATAGATAAGATCTTCTGAGTAAATTGGGAGCATGAGAAGGGGGGAGAGGGAGGGTGAAAAGGGAACAGGAGAGGGGAAGGGGAGAGAGGAGGAGAATGTGAGGGAACAGGATGGTCAAGATGGGGGAAGGACAGAGATGAGAGCAAGAACAGAGATGTCTTGATTGAGGAAGCCATTATGAGGTTATTGAGAAACCTGACACTAGGGAAATTACCAGGAATCCATAAGGATGACCACAGGAAAGATCCCAAGCAATAGTGGAGAGGGTGCCTGAACTGGCCTTCCCCTGTAAACAAATTGATGACTATTTTCATTGTCATCATAGAACCTTCATCCAGTAACTGATGGAAGCAGATGCAGAGATTCATAGCTATTCACTGGGCCAAGCTCCCAGAGTTCAGATGAAGAGAGGAAAGAGCAATAATTTGAACAAAAGGGTCAAGACAATGAGGGGGATATCCACAGAAACAGCTAATTTGACATAGTGGGAACTCACTGACTCTGGACTGACAGTGGGGGAACTTGACCAAACTAGGCCCTCTGAATGTGGGAGACAGTTGTGTGGCTTAGGCAGTCGGTGGAGCCACTGGCAGTGGTACCAGGATTTATCCTGTGTTTCAACTGGCTTTTTTGGAGTCCATTCTCATTGGAGGGTTACCTTACTTAGCCTAGATATAGGGGGGGAGGGCATTGGTCCTGCCTCAAAGTGAGGTGCCAGACTTTGTTGACTCCCATGGGAGGCCTTACCCTCTCTGAGGAGTGGGAGGAAATGAGGGAGTGGGAACTTGGGTTGGAACATAAAATGAAAAGAGATTGTTTTAAAAAAATGGTATCTACAACACAAAGACAACAAAATAGAAACTAAAACAGAAGCATGCAAGTGATTAGTAAAGAAATGCACTCCCGAGGAACCTGAGTGGAGCCTAAAAGACAGCTGCTGTAGCACGAGAAACTACAACAGCATTCACCGCAGAGCGGCTGTAAAGCTCTCACACCTCGTGCAAACGTGTGGTTTCAGACAGGTTGTGCTTTTCTCCCAGGTGAGAAGGCCCACCTGACGCCAGTGCATGGCCTTCTGTGGGCTGCGCTGAGAAGCACTGCTGTACCAGACACTCATGGCAGTCCCTGGAGCAGCGTGAACTCAAAGTCCCTGCCCTATCAGTGCTGGCCTGACCCTGACCTCAGCACAAGCCCCAAGGAAGATGTGTTCTCATCCTCAGCTATTCCCTTCTAATACCTGCTCTTTTTCCAGGGCTTGGCTCGCTCCCCAGACTGACCAGCCCTTACACTGCTCTGGAACAACTGTTGGTGAAAAGATTAGACCAGCTGCGTCAAAAACCTCCTCTGCTTCTCTGGGGGAGGGGAGGGGGGGTCAAAATGCTCACCAAAGTAAACAGAAACCAAAGATCACTGAGCAAGCCGCAAGCAGCTGCTGAACAGCTTTCCCCTGCTATCACACACTACACACACCTCACTGACTCTCCGTCCAGCTTCCCCGCTTCAACCCCACATCTACCTCTGCAGGCCTGATGCCCACCAGACCCAGGCTCCTGCCTTTGGTCTTGACTGCAGTGCTGTCCCTATCCTGGCACCAACCGTTTGTCTGTGTCTGCCAGGTTTCCACCTGACCTATTTTGATCTTTTCTTAAGACGTTTTTCCTTCCTAACAGGTGTTTCCCAGACTCATGTTCCCTCCTCACCCATCCCTTGCCTCACACAACTGACTGGTGGGCAGTTAACTCAATAGTCTGAGTTGTTAGCCCAGAGTCATCCAGGGCTGAAAGGACACACTGCTGAGATTCTCATTCCTTGTTAAACGAACACAATGGCAGCTCAAAGAATCACTTCATTATAAAAGTAAAAGATGCACATGGGCCATCTTCCAACAAAGCTCAGAGATTATAAAATTACAAATAAGATTTTACACTAAAATATTAATGCCTGAGCAAAGCACCTCTCTATTATGTCACAGATATAAGATGATCAAATTTTTTCTTTAATCATTTACATGAGCTGAACCCCCAACAATACTCCTACCCCCAAGAAATAAATTTGCTTTGGAACTATCCAAATAATGTCATCAAAAAAATTTCTTTTCTTTATTCAGTAATCAGCGTAAGTAACTTGTATTCATTTTGTAACATACAAACTCAATTTGGGGAGGCATCATAGATAAAAACAAACATATTATTTCTAGATATATATTCTTCTATATTCAACTATACCATAATAATACTTCTTAATGAGTTTATACAAAAGTCTTTCCTTTAATAAGGTTGTTATAATATTGTAATAAATCTACTGGAGCATCCAGGAGAGAGGGCAACACATTTGAATCCAGTGTAAAAGCATAGCAAAATGTCCCCATTTGACTTGAATGTTTATGAATCCCATACAATGGTAGCTAGTCAAATACACTCTGAACTCCTCTCCCAAAGTTGGTATTCAGTACACTCCATGGAAAAGAAACTATATAACACAGCCCAAAGCAGATATATCCAAATACATGTCTGTATTTTCAACCTGTGGTATTTACTAAGCAGATCCTTGACTTCTTAAGAACTAAGACTATAATAGCAAAAGCAATGAATACATTCTCTGTAGTGAAGATGTCAGAGCACTGCCCTGGGTCCTAATGACATCTAGACACCGTCCGTTACTAACCACAGGAAAACTCCTAGCTTGGAACCTTGGGGTTTCCAGAGGTCTGACAGGAAAACAACAACGACATAGTAAATGTTTACTATGGTCCCGTATATCAATATCCGGTATCGCCTACATACAGAATTGCAAAACTTAATACGAGGATCCATATTTGGATGCTGAGATACCTGATATGTAGTCAATACTTAGTAAACTGTTGTTCATTTTATCTGTATAGTATAAAAAGTAAGATCCTTGGGTTTCACTCTAAGTTTCTTTCACAAGAGAAAAATTTTAAAGTTCAAACACAATAAAGAAAATTTAAGTATACACTGGTTATTAGTATCTTCTAATAAATATTACTGCAAAAATATCATAATTTTCAGAGCTATGCACTCGGTTAAGTCTAAAACAACAAGGTTAGAAGTTAGCTTTAAAATTTCTATGGAGGGATAAAGAAATCAGGGGGACAGTGAGAAGTCACGCTGAGCAGTGTGGCACAGACCCTACTTGCTGGGTGGGGCCCAGTTTACTATTTTCTTCCCACTGTTCAGTGTTCTGTCTAAAGATTTATTTTATTTTCAAGTGCATGGATGTGTGCGCGCATGCGAGTGTGTGTGTGTGTGTGTGTGTGTGTGTGTGTGTGTATGTGCATGCACGCTGTTCTTGTCTTTGTGTACGTATATGACTACAAGTGTAGGTGCCCAAAGAGACCAGCAGTGTCTGAAACCCCTCATCCCCTGGAGCTGTAGTTAGAGGCAGTCACGAACTGCTGGTTGTGATGTTACGAACTATCTGATGGAATGTTACAAATTGAACTCAGGCCCTCTGCACGAGGAGAGGAGTACACACTCTTACAGGAGTACATACTCTTAGTCACTTAGCTATTTCACCAGCCCTGGATATGTTTCTTAATTAAAAAAAAAATTAAAACCAAGATTACTTCAAGAGTATGGCTTGAAGTGACAAACATAGATGGGTCCAGGCAGGCTTGAAAAGAACAAGGCAATTTGGGTATTTGACCTGACTCCTAGCTCATACAGAGCAAACAGTCTTCAAGTTTCTTGGCTGCAAAACAGAGTTAGGTCTCTCCCTCAGTCCCTGCCATGGTCAACTGGCCAGGCCAGACATTCTAATTTTCCAGAGGGCTCTGTAACCTTATGCCCTTGGCCCACTTCCATCCCTACATCTCCTCTTCTTAATTTGTTTCTAATTCCCTTTGTCTCTGACCGTAATAGTCAATCACCCTGGCTGTAAAATGTAACATGGAAGGTTAAGAGACAGACATCAAATGATAAACTCTGCAGTAAATAACCATGTGAACTCACAGGCCCTTCCAAATCCCATGCTGTCTATCTGACATGTCCTTGACACCAGCATGTTTCCAAGTTGATAGGTGAGCCTAAAAGGAATGAATGCTGTACAGTGTAAACACAGTTCCACAGCCTCCCAGGCCCGGCCTGCTCCACCACAGCCCTGGGCCACCCTGGGACTGCCGCAGTCTTTTCACTGACTTCAGAAACATTTACTGTGACGGCTAAAAATACCTGCATCACAAACTCTCGACGGCGAGGCATCCCTCGTTCCGAAAGTAAGACGTAATCAGGCTCCTTTTCCTTTCTGGCCTGTTGGATTTGGGCCAGGCGACTGATGGGGTTCATTCCTTGACCATACTCAGGTCCAGCCTAAAAAAAAGAATTTCAGAAAGATTTCAGAATCTTGATTGTGAAACTTATGAGACCCCGGGAAAAGGACCGTGTCTCTAGTGCACTCCCAGCACACCAGAACTGACTGCTGGGTAAATTGGAGTCATTAGAAAGACCTACAACAGAAATTTGTAAAATGGACCCAACATCTAGGCTTCTATGGGACTGGGGTTCAGAGATAGTAGAGAAAAGCGAAATTGCTTATACTTTAAAACTGGGTGATCCCTCGGGGTGCAATAGAAACAAAGAAGAACAGAAAGACATGAGCCGTGAGCAGACACTTGCAACATATAACTCAAAAGATTGGTCCAGGCTCCAAAACATACTGTTAGAAACTCCTAAAAAAATATTAGGAAAATGGGTAAAAAGTGATAAACAGATGTATCACAAGAATGGAAATGGAAAGAAAGACTAATTAACTTCATTAGAACTTGGTAGATGCATATTAAGACCATGGTGAAATATGAATATTCACCCACCAGCTCGGGAAATCTGCAACGTCCAACAGGTAAGAAGGTGAGCTTGGTTTTAAGTCAACAGATACAAGCTAGAGATGTCTGAGAGAAGGGAGCCTCAATAAAGAACATACCTCCATAGAGTCGGGCTGTAGGTAAGCCTGCAGGGATTTTCTTGATTAGTGATTGGTGCCAGAGGGCCCAGTCTACTGTGGCTGGTGGTACTGGGTTCTATAAGAACCATGATGAGCAAGCCAATAGCTGCACCCCATCATGGTCTCTGCCTCAGCTCCTGTCTCCAGGTTCCTGCCCTGCTTGAGTACTGTTCTAACTTCCTTTGATGAACTGTGATGTGGAAACTTAAGCTGAACAAACCCTTCCGTCTTCAGTTGTTTTTAATCATGGTGTTTAATCACAGCAATAGCAACCCTAACCAATAACAGAAGCTCAGAGATAGGAGGACAAAAGTGGTAGCTTACTATGTCGTCAGGCTGGCCTTGAATGCCTGAACTAAAAACATTCCTGAGTAGTGCCAACTATAAAGTACATTGTCACCTGACTTACAAGGGATGGCAAGAACTAGAGAAATATTTAGGTGACGTACCAACAGGATCTGATGATTTACTGGACACAAAGGTAAAAAGAAACCTCAGCTTCAGATAGTTGGTGCTGCCAGCTATTAGATGAAGGAAGATTTACAACAGAACATGACAAATTCTGGACACTGAAATGGAGGTGACTGTGATTTACTCAGCAACAATGTGGAACACATGGTATGGCACACAGAAGCACACTTGAGAATTGTTACTCTGAAGACTGAACTGAACCACTGGGGTAAAGGAGAAACTAGGAAAAGAGTAAAAGACTGCAAACATCAGGGCCAGTGAGATAGCTCAGTGGGTAAGGCACCTGATGCACAAGCAGGATGCCCAAAACTCAGTCATCAAAATCCATATTGGGGAAAGGAAGAACTGAGCCCTCCAAATTGTCCTCTGACCTTCACATATGTGCATACACAAAAACAAAATAAGTTTTTTAAAAGGATTATAAGGCAATCTTACCAAAAGCAATCTACAGATTCAATGCAATGCCCATCAAAACCCCAGCAAAATTCTTTACAGACCTCAAAAGAATGGTACTCAACTTCATATGGAAAAGAAAAAAATCCAGGATCGCCAAAACAATCCTGTACAATAAAAGAACTTCTGGAGGCATCACAATCCCTGACTTCAAGCTCTACTACAGAGTTACAGTACTGAAAACAGCCTGGTATTGGCATAAGAACAGACAGGAGGACCAATGGAACTAAATAGAAGACCCGGATATCAATCCACACATCTTCGAACACCTGATATTTTACAAAGAAGCAAAAATATCAAATGGAAAAAAGAAAGCATATTTAACAAGTGGTGCTAGCATAATTGGATATCAACATGTAGAAGAATGGAAATAGACCCATATCTATCACCATTCACAAAACTCAAGTTAAAATGGATCAAAGACCTCAACATAAAGCCAGCCACACTGAACCTTATGGAAGATAAAGTGGGAAGTACACTTGAACGCATTGGCACAGGGAACCACTTCCGAAATATAACTCCAGCAGCACAGACACTGAGAGAAACAATTAATAAATGGGATCTCCTAAAACTGAAAAGCTTCTATAAATCAAATGACATAATCAACAAGACAAAATGACAACCTACAGAATGGGAAAAGATCTTTACTAATCCCACATCAGACAGAGGTCTGATATCCAAAATATACAAAGAACTCAAAAAAAATGGTCACCAAAAGAACACATAATCCTATAAAAAAAAAAATGGAGTACAGACCTAAACAGAGAATTCTTAACAGAGGAGTCTAAAATGGCTGAAAGACACCTAAGGAAATGTTGAGCATCCTTAGTCATCAGAGAAATGCAAATCAAAACAACTTTGAGATTCCATCTTACACCTGTAAGAATAGCCAAGATCAAAAACACTGATGACAATGTATTCTGTAGAGGTTGTGGGAAAAGGGGAATACTTCTGCATTGCTGGTGGGAATGCAAGCTCATACAACCCCTTTGGATGTCAGTGTGGCAATTTTTAAGAAAATTAGGAATAACCTTCCTCAAGACCCAGTAATACCACTTTTGGGTATATATCCAAAGGATGCTCAATTGTGCCACAAAGACATGTGCTCAACTATGTTCATAGCAGCATTGTTTGTCATAGCCAGAACCTGGAAACAGCCTAAATGCCCCTTGACTGAAGAATGGATAAGGAAAATGTAGTACAATGGAGTACTACACAGTAGAAAAAAATGACATCTTAAATTTTGCAGGAAAATGGATAGAAGCTAGAAAACATTATTTTGAGTGAGGTAACCCAGACACACAAAGACAATTATCACATGTACTCACTCACTCATAGGTGGCTTTTAAACATAAAGCAAAGAAAACCAGCCTACAAACCACAATTCCAGAGAACTTAGACAACAATGAGAACACTAAGAGAGACTTACAAAGATCTAATCTACATGGGAAATAGAAAGTATAAAAAGACAAGATCTCCTGAGTAAATTGGGAGCATGGAGACCTTGGGGGAGGGCTGAAGGGGGGAGAGGAGAAGCAGGGAGGGGAGCAGAGAAAAATGTAGAGCTCAATAAAAATCAATAAAAAAAGAAAAGGACATAAAGTTAGGGGAGATGGGGAGATAGGAGATAGATATATGGAGATTTGGGGGAAGGTGTGGGTGTGAATATGATCAAAATGCATTATATGAAATTCCCAAAGAATTAATTAAAAATATTTTTAAAAGTATCTTTCCCTACTCTCAAAACATTTCATACTCTGTACTTGGAAGTTGTACCTAATTCACTAAACTGATGAGAATATGTCTAAGGCATTGAGTACTGGGGAAAAAAAAAGACTGTAAATCTCACAACTGAAATTGTTTAGGCTGGACACGAGAGAGCAATGGAGATGGTTAGCTCTTGTAAGGCCTACCATATACAAAACTACAGATTAAATAAATTATAAAGGGTCACCTGCAAAGTATAAGTGATCAGTAGAGAAAAGTAGGGTCTCTAATTTGGGACTGGGAGGAGGTTAAATAAAAAAGGAGGGAACCCGTGAGGTGGTGCACTTGGGAGGCAGAGGCAGGTGGATCTCTGTGAGTTCGAGGCCAGCCTGGTTTACAAGAGCTAGTTCCAGTACAGGCACCAAAGCTACAGAAAAACCTTGTTTCCAAAAAAAAAAGGAGGAAAAAGTAAAATATCAGTAAGACTGTCTAAAAAAGTCAAAAGGAATCATACTATTAACTAAAACAAAAACTGTGATACATGTAAGTTGTATAGAAGGGTCTTCTGTCTATGTGTTACTTTCATTGGTTAAATAAAGAAACTGCCTTGGCTTTTTGATAGGGCAGAATGTAGATAGGTGGAGTAGACCAAATAGGTGCTGGGAGAAAGAAAGCAGAGTCAGGCAGACGCCATGGCTCTCCTCTCCCAGACGGACACTGGCTAGACTCATGCCAGTAAGTCACAGTGAAGTGGCAATACAGATTACTAGACATGGGTTAAAGCAAGATGTGAGAGTTTGGCGCCCAACGTGGATAACTGAATCCACAGAAAGCTTGAGAAAGCTTGGGAAAGAATGTTTTCTTCCCATTTTTTGTTGGTAGCAGCAATTTCTCAGGTCTGCTCTGTTTGCTAGAGGCAAACAAGCACTCTCATCTAAGGGAGGCTTCCTGACTCAGCTTCAGCTGCAAAACCTTGCAGCTCTTTTAAAAGGTCCTGTTACAAAACACTTAAATGGTGTTGACAAAAAGCTGAACGCATGCTTTTCGGTTTTCAGCCGTAGCAGGAAAAAAGCTGTGCTGTTTTAAAATGCCGGCTTTCTGGGCTGTCCTGCCAGGGCAAACTCTGACTCTTTCAGGCAGGCAGTCCGACTGAATGTGGTCTGTGAGCAGAATACTACAGCTTGCTTGCTAGCAAGGACCTTGAAATGCCATAGAGTTGTGGCAGTGAACACAGCTCTGGCTGGTATCTCAGCCATGAGGCTGGAAAGTTAAGAAATGGGCTGGATCTAGCCGTCAAAGCCA